ATAAACGCCTGTGTTGTTTTAAAGCAAAGGAAAATGTCCAGGAGATGAGGAAAGAGCTCGATTCGCTTCTGCAAACAGCGGAGAAGGCGTTTGCCGTGGAGCTGCTGAAGATGCCGGTTGCCATCAGGAAAATGAAAAGGAAAGACTTGCTGCGTAAGTGCGCGTGGCCTGGTACTTGCGGGGGGCGCAGATGTTCCTGCGGCCCGATGTACCCTGGGCTGACCGGAGGAAACCCGGGAACCCGGTGACTTCTATGGAAACAGCTTCATTTGTCTGCTGAATATTGCGAGCTCGTGGCAGCGCCCGGTGAACGCTCCGAGCAGGCTGGTTGTGTAACACCGGGTACAGAGTTAGTTGCTAACGGTGCATAAAGTCTGGAGCTTTCTTTCATGTGTGCTCTCAAGTCATCTTATTTAAAGACTGAAGAGACAAAGGATAATTGCAAGTTAGTATTTTCTGTGTGTAAAAACTTAAGCGCTTCTTGCCTTCTGAATCTGTTCATCCTGGCACAGAGATTATTTTATCTTTCTGTGAATTTGAAGTCTTACTACTGAACCTTTCTCATCTCGTCTCTTACTCCTGTGATGATGAGTGAACAAGTTTCATTTTGACCTCATATTTGTGCAGCAGTTTAAGCTGTGGTGTACAGTCAGCATCAGATGTATATTCTGGTGAGAACTGACATTTTTGGAATCTGTGTTGCAGCTTTGTGCAGGGGCCACACAAAGATCAAACCTAAAACTCTTGAAGAACTTGAGTTTACTGTAAGCCTTTGCTAAATATGCATTTTAATGTCTTTCTTGAAAACTTATGCCTAAAAGCGTTAGGTTTAAGCAGTGCAATGTGTGGGGGTTTTTCTTCTTTGAATTCAGGTTAGGTACTGTGTGACTATACTTAGTATCCTTTCAAAGATTAAACATACTGAAATGGCCTCAGATTTTTGTTTTGAAGGAGTGACTATCCTCCAAGACTTGAATCTTGTTCAGATTCAACATACATGCTAGCTGAGGTTAACTATTTAAGCAACTGTAATCGTGAATTTCCTGTTCAGCTTCATAGCCTGTAAGATAAGAACCTGCAGGTAATAATTACACAAGTAATAGTATATAAACAAATTATACTTTCTTGAGTTACAGATTTGCAAGGAGGGGAGGAAGTGGCTCTTGCTGCTGCAGTGGTAAGTTTGTGTTTTCAAATTTTATCAGAGCTTACAGAATAGAAGTCTTCTGTCCCTGCTATAGACATTTCAGACAAACAATTTTGTTTGGCTGTCTGTTTAAATAGAAGATGATATGAAAAGGCTAGACAGCCAGCCATGGTGCAGTTAAGGTCATATGCTTTAGGGTCATCTGCAGGCAGAAATCTAGATTTCTGAAAAAGTACACTGGTGTTTAGCCTATCCCACCTCTGTCACTTTCTTTTATGCCCTTTTAGTTCACTACCTTTTGTAGGATAATATGTGTTTACTGGGAAAAATTTGTTGACTTTCCCTTGTTGGGTAAACATACTTTTTTTTAGACTGACTGCTCTCTAGAAGACATACCAAATCCAAAACTGGTGAGGAGCAACAGCAGAAAAGGCAAGCCAATCCATTAATATATAGCTTGGTTCTTAAATTTTCTTTTTTAAATTGGTTTGAACTGAGCATTTGTGAAGTGAATATTAAGCCTGAAGGGTACAAGAGGCAAAAGTGTGTAACTAGAAGTACAACGTACAGGTCCCTGCAGCATTCAGTGTGGAGGATTGTGAGCCACATGTTACTGTTGAGGTACTTTAAAACATGAGATAAGAGTTCCTGCCCTTTGGATTTATCAATGCAAATGGTGAGAAGAGACAGATATAAGTGACTTGTCAGTGCTTTACAGGATAGCAGAAGAGTGAGGGAAGTCACCCCTATTTTCTTATAGGTTCCCCTTTGACCTCCTGCCCATTGAGGTTTGTAAGGAAAATACCATTTCTCTTCATACTCCAAAATATGCAGTAAGAACACTGCTACTGAAACGTAATTCTGTTTTGTCTAGGGGTTCTTTTAACTGTCCTGTGTGTCACAGTGTCTCTGATGAACACGTGTAGTTTGCTTTCAACTCTGTCCCAGGCGAATGACCATGGGATAGCAGAACTGATACGTAGCAGTCAGTGGGTAAATAGGCTTCAAACAAGTGAGTCTGAAGTGGTGTTTTGTGCTGTTCGTGAGTCTTTTATTTTCCTTGTCTTTCTAATATATTTCTAGTTAAGGTGACTACAATTGTTGAGTATGAAGATGCCAAGAATATTTCTGCGAAGAAAATATCTAAAAAAGTAAGTTTATTCTGAACAAACAACATAAGGGTTTAATCAGTTCTGACTTGCTATGAACCCCACTAGATCCATGACTGGGCAGGCCAGTGGCCTGCCATTTGTTTGAAAAATGAGTTGTTTTAAATTGAATGTATTTTAAGTTAAGCGAAGGTGAACTGTATACTAAATTAATTTAATAATTAAATATGGTATCTGCACTTCTGGTGACTCATTCACACAGACTTGCAAATACTGGTGTAGTCATTCTCTCTTGACAATAAGTCCTGATGGTTTGAGGAACCTTTGTTTGTTGAACCTTTTTTAAAAAAAAAATAAAAATTCAACTTCATGTTTTAATACATGCTTTTCTACGTTTGAATGACTTGTGCATTCTTGTCCACCTTGATCTCTAAACCAAGGAGCACAGGTGCATTAATTTTACCACCTCAGTCCATCTGTGCAGTGCAGTGCCTCAGCCAGACACTGAAGTATGTAGCAAGATGACAACAAAGACAAAAAGATTGTATGCAGAGTTACAGGCATTAATTATAAGAGGGCTTGCGAGTTGGAAGGGTGTATATTAGAAAGGTGGTTGTTTGTACAGAACTTCAGTATGAACAAATAGGTTTTGGCATTATGAAACTCTTGTTTTGGAATGCATATTTGCCATTTTATGTGTATGTAGAACCATGTAAAAGGCAGCACTGTGGGGCTTAACTGTTCTTTTTCAACAGGGAGTTCTGACAGTATTGTTCCCTGGATATATCTATCGTTTTGCCTTGAAATACCACTTCTTTTAACTGCAGTTTTACATATACGTTTTCAGGTTTCCAAAACAAAGTCGTTGGTTTCATTGGCCTCTGGTTTAAATAGCAAACTGAACACTCTTAAAAAAAGTAAGACTGACCTTTGGTAGCTTATTTAACTCACCTGAACTTGTGAATGCTGAATAAAACTCTTTTCTGATAAAGTAGCTGAGATTTGAGGCCAATAAGAATAGATCTGATAAAGATGTCTTCCATAACCTGAATTGTAGGGATGCATTGGAGGGATGTGAACCCTGAACAAAAAAGCACCTCTAGCTGGTGCTTTTATTCAAGTACACTAACACTGGGCCAAAACCTCGTGCCCTTACAGTATCTCCAAAATGTGCGTGGGAAAAGGGAGACAAGAGGGAAGAGTGAGGTGAATTTCTGTCATCAAGATTTCTGTGAACCAAGTTAAAATCCAAAACTGGAAAAAAATTGTTCTCTGGATTCAGGTTAACCACAGAGGGCAAATATCCTGAGAAGTAATCTAGAAAAATTAATTCCTG